CCAATTATTAACATTAAAATTCCAGAAAAAAATTGAACCAAAATTCGGAATATGCAAGAACATAACAAAATAAATTCACATATTCACCAATTATTCACATTAAAATTTCTGAAAAAAATGAAGCAAAATTTGGAATATGCAAGAACATAAGAAAATAAATTCAAATAATTACTTAATATTTCTATAATATTCAATAATAATGAGAAAAAAATCATAGTTGTTCATAGCATGCATCATTTTTCAATTCATATTACTGAAAAATCAAATAAGAATCGACTTTCACTAAAATATACAAGAAAACAGATAAAAAACTCAAAACAACCAAAGTGGTAGGTGGAGGGAGCCTTACCTATTGTCGCCGACGCGTTTCAGGTAGGGTTTCCGTCGAAGATTTCAGATTTGAGACAAAACACGCAAGAAACATCTCAGATCACAAAAAATGTCAAAAACAAAAAAAAAAAAGAGCTGGGAACGAAGATGATTAACTAGAACTGAAAAACGACCCACCCACCAATCGATTTTTTGTATTCAAAGTCGTCGCCAGTCGCCCTCTGAGATCTTGCTGTCGCTGCCCTGTTCGAACTGGACACATGGAGAAGACAAGGGCTTTCTCCATTCGCAGGGGTAGTTTGGGCATTATGAAACTTTTTAAGGGACTGGAGCGTCCCAGATTTTTTGAATAAGCACATGTTGAACAAGTGCTTAAAAAAATCCATCTTCAACATGCTTATTTGTTAAGTGCTTTTTTTTTTAAATAAGCACTTATACCCGACTTATTTACCAAACAGGTATAAGTGCTTTTATTCCATTTAATGTGTGGTCCTAGCACTTCTTTTCCTCAATTTCTATAATAAAAAAGGGGTTCAGCCCCCATATTTTTTGAATTTTCTTTTCTTTCTTTTTCTTATGAATATGTTGATTTTCTATACTGTAACATTAAGTTTCTACTTTTTTTATTAAAATTATGAATAATTATTAAGGAAATATGGTTATGGAGCCTAGGGAACTACCCCCCTCCAGGATATATGTTTTTTACTTGAAAAAATCCATCGTCTACGTGACTATGTGGCAAGGCGCCCCCCTGCCGCCTAGCCTCACCTTGGCGCCTAGAAAACTATACTTGTTACTACAAACAATGTTCCATCGTCTACGTGACTATTCAATCGCATAATCCATCACAGCATTCAGCCACTACAAACAATGATGTTTCCTAGTGCCGCAACCAAGAAGATGGAGGAAGAAAGTCCCAAAAGCTGTCTTAGACTAGAACAATTTAGAATCCTTGGACTTTTTTTTATGAATGAATTTAGAATCCTTGAACTTTCAGTGTAAAAAAAAAGTAAGAAAGGGAGAGAGAACTTGATCGGACTGCTCCTAGAACCCATAAACATGCTCTGATACCATATTATCTTGCAAGAAAACAAAGGAAGAAGAAGAGAAGAGGGGAACAAAGGTTTGAGAGAGAAAAAACTAGGTTGGCGGCAAATAGTATCTTATTTATATTAGGGTGGCATTACAAATAAAAGTAAAAAGACACAAGTGCCCTTGTAGTACATATAATGATAATTACAAAACACACCCTAAAAGCTAACAAAAGAACAAGCAAGCAATTTTTATGTGAAAATTACATTTTAACCAGTCATACATCAATAAATCATAGGCCATATGAATGTGTTGAAGCCTCATTGCACCTCACACACAAAAATCTTCTAATCATATAAACTCATAAGGTGATCTAAATCATAGCCAGGGCATTATCCATCATATAGAAAAAAAAAAAAAAGAAAGAAAAGAAATCATAGCCAGAACATGAACTACTGACTAAAAGGCATTGCTTACAGATCTGCCAGGGGCACCATCCCATATCCATGGTAGTCATCTATCTCAAAGGCCCGAGACGAAACAAGACTTTTTGCAGCAAGATACTGTTCAACTTGAAAGCTTTTGGGGTTCAACTTCAATGGGCCAAAATCTACAAGTGGCAGAATGCACTCTTTCCAGTCCTCATAAATATGAGATTTGTCTTCTTTCACTGTCTGCCTAGAATTTCATCAAAACAAACAAACAAGTTTTTAACATGAGAATGTTTTGACTTTAAAATCAGATTAACAAAGGGAGAAATAGCAATTATGTGATTTGGAAATATATGAATCATGAATTTCTCTGGAGTCTAACAAAGTAGGGAAAAAAGAATGATAAATTAAGCTTTACAGAAATAAATCTTCCTACAAACTTTACTGTCTAACTAGCACACCTGATTGATAAACATAACTATGCTTGATTGATGACAAAATTAATGAGAATGGAATAAACGAGAAGACAGTAAATCATTTTTCTCTTTTAAACAGAAGTCATAAGATAAATAGTTGCTTTTCCCATATTAGTTAATCAGTGTTATCTAAGAGTCATAAAAATGACTAATCAATTGAGAGACATATCAACTGTATCATTGACCGGTTGGTTGGTTCCTTCCAGCTCCTACAACCTTATCTTTGACTGGTTTAATCTAAAATTCAAAGTGCAAATTGATATAAACAGAATCTCTCTCACTGTTCTAGCAGGGGGCATCAGCACAAACAGTTGCCAACCAAATAACATCTGAAAGACAAGGCCTACTTTTTATTTGATCTTGAAGACATTCCAACTATTGCTAGAATCATTGTAATCAAAAGTGTTGACTAGTACCACCTGATAAATTGAGGGCCAGACCTACTGCATCACTAACTAGTTGGTTGTTACAGATGATGAGATTGCCTACAACAATTAAAGCATCAACTAGGTTGACTAGTCAATCGACAACTAGGCACAAAGATACTTCAAAGTTTCTTCTTTTTTTTCTTTGGTTTTTCTTTATCTCTAATTACCTAAAATAATATAAACATATGTTTTTATTATTTATATGCATATCACTGCCTCAAGTATTTGTGATAGAACATCTTTGGCTAATGATTTATTAAATAGAAACAAGACATAAAGATGAAAGTGGAGGGTGGGCTCTTTTAAGCTTTCTCTAATCAGTGGTTCAATAGCATAGAATCACCACAAACAAGGAGTACATCAAATGCTACGTTACATGGTAAAAGATTACACATTTTTTATGCTCACAAGACAGATCGTAAAGTAAATGTTTAGTTTTGTTCCATTATTGCATACTTGATATCTATATTTGTTAGACAGTTTTGTATGCCCTTAGCTCCAATCAGTTTTGATGTACTTTTGACATTTCGTGTAAATGAATAAAGTGCATGTTTGATTCATGTTGTGTGGTATTTTTCTGTGTAAGACCCTTAAATTGGACACTTAATGAGATTCCTGTTAGTTTAAAATGTTCACAGCCGTTGGATTAGTCTGTGGAGATTTATCCTACCAAGACTGACACTTGTGTGCTGCCAAATGTTGGGGTGGCCTGTCTCAGCCGCCAGGGTGAGACCCAAGGCACATGCAGTGTAGGATTACTTGAATCTTTGAACCGGACCAGATTTTCAGTATTGCCCTGGACCTTGGAGATTGATGGGCAAAACTGGAAAGTTACACCTGACCCCTAGACTCGATTATGATACTGCACT